TCCTCTTGGCACTGTTCTACTCAACATCTGGTGACAAAAACCTGTTTTTCTCATTTAACTTTGAACCTCAAGAATAATGGATTATTTTCTTCTGATTAAAAAAAAATAGACTATGTTGTTGGTAGGTGCTATTGAGTTGTCTCTGACTCATAGCAACCCTATGCACAGCAGAACAAAACACTGCCCAGTCCTGTGCCAGCCTCACGATCCTTGTTATATCTGAGCCTATCGTTGCAGCTACCATGTCAATCCATCTCCTTGAGGGCCTTCCCCTTCTTCATTGACCCTCCACCCTACCAAGCATGGTATCCTTCTCCAGGGAATGATTCCTTCTGACAACATGACCAAAGTAGGTGAGACAAAGTCTGGCCATTCTCGCTTCCAAGTAGCATTCTGGCCACACTTCTTCCAGGACAGATCTGTTAGTCCTTTCAGCAGTCCATGGTACTCTTAGCATTCTTCTCCAACAGCATAACTCAAAAGCATTAACTCTTCTTTGGTCTTCCTTCTTCATTATCCGCCTCTCACATGCATAAAAGGTGATTGAAAACACCATGGCTTGGGTTAGGCGCACCTCAGTCTTCAAGGAGACATCTTTGTTCTTCATCATTTGAAAGAGGTCTTTTGCAGCTGATTTACCCAATGCAATATGTTTTCTGATGTCTTGACTGCTGCTTCCATTGATGTTGATTGTAGAAACAAGTAATACAAAGTCCTTCACAACTTCAACCTTTTCTCTGTCCATCGTAAACCTGTTTATTGGAACAGTCATAAGGATCTTTGTTTTCTTTATATTGAAGTGTAATCCATACTGCAGACTGTAAACTTTAACTTTCATCAGTAAGTGCTTCAAGTCATCCTCGCTTTCAGTAAGCAAAGTTGTGTCGTTTGTGTATCACAGGGTGTTAATGAGTCTTCCTCCAATCCTGATGCCTTGTTCTTCTTCATACAATCCAGCTTCTCAGATTACTTGCTTAGCATACAGATTGGTGAAAGGATACAACCCTGATGCACTCCCTTCCTGATTTTAAACCATGCAGTATCCCCTTGTTCTGTTCGAAAGACAGCCTCCTGGTCTATGTACAGGTTCCTCATGAGTACAATGAAGTGTTCTGGAATTCCCGTTCTTCTCAATGTTATTCATAATTTGTTATGACCCACACAATCAAATGCTTTTGCATTGTCAATAAAACACAAGTAAACATCTGATTTTTTAAAAACAGACTATATATGAACAAAAAACAATGAAATTGTATCTTTCAGAACTTATGGAGACTGGAACATGTCATGATATTTAGGAGGTTGGGAAGGAATGTTTCTTCTGTACGTCCCTGGTTTCTGGGGGTAATGATTATTCGCTGCACCCCAGGGGAGGAAGTGCTATGCATTTGCTTGATGGATTCCGGAGCAGGAACTGAGCACACTGTCTCAAACCACTCAGCCTCTTCCTCTTCAGCATGGACTGTCCAGAGGAGGTCTTTGCTCTGGTGTGGCCTCAGCCCACAGTAAGCTGGGCAGAAGACCCTGTTTGCATGTGGGGAGGTCTGAAGTGGCCCAGCATCGACAGCAGGTGATTTAGCTAATTCTGGAATTCACTATGAAGAAGCCATGTTGCTGCTCCTTCAGCCTTGTCCCCCAAGCTGGCCTCTACCAGTAATAAAGCTGACATTTCTGTATCTGTCTCACAATTGATTCAGAACTCAGGAAGGAAAAGCGGGAGCCCTATATATGGAGCCTTTAAACCCCAACCAAGAACGTGGAAGGCAATTTTATTTTCTCGTGAACTGTGTTCACTGGCATGTAGCCAACACAGGTGTGAGCTCAGGTTCATTAGGAAAGATAACATTGATAAAAACTGCACTTGAATATCTAAGCAGACCAAACCCAACCCAACCCACTGCCACCGAGTTGATTCCAACCCATAACAACCCACAGGGCCGAGCAGAATGGCCTCATTGGGATTCCAAGGCTGCAAATCTTTATGGAAGTAGACCGCTTCACCCTTCTCCCATGGAGTGGCTGGCAGGTTCAAACTTCTGATCTTCTCATTAGTAACCAAATGCTCCTTACCTAAGCAGAGGCCTTTCATCATTTCTAACCCTCACAACATCTCTCCAAGCAAGAAATCATGGCTCTTTTCCAGGTGAGGAACCAGATATGTGGGAAGTGAAGACACTTTGCCCCAAGTCTCCCAGGCAGGAAGTGGCAGTGTGAGGCTTGTCACTTGGGCTCATGTGTTCCCAGACCTTCCATTAATCTTCCAACTGCACGCAGATGCCACCTCTGCAAAGAGCAGCTGTACTTCAGAGCCCCTCTTGTTCTCTTCTGCTGGAAGTTTTGAAGCCATGGTGAGCCTTACGTGAAACCATGCACCTGCAGCAGCTGGCCAGACTGTTGTTGGTTGCTGTCAAGTCAGGCCCCTGTGCACCATGAGTTTGCACCCTTGTGATCCACCAGGTTTCCGCTGGCCAATTTTTCTGGAAGCAGATAGCCAGGAATTTCTTCCTAGTTTGCCTTAGCCTGGAAGCTCTGCTAAAATCTGTTCAGCATTAACAGCAACTCACAAGCCTCCACTGACAGGCAAGTGGCGGCCGCATTTGAGAGCACGGAAGTGAACCCCAGAGTCTCGTACAAAAGGTGAGAATTCCACCATTGAATGAACTATCACTGCCCACTTCGGCCAGACTAAGTCTCTGTAAACAGTGGTGTGGTAGTGAAGGTTCTGTGTCAACTTGGCTGGACCTGGTTTTGAGTGTCTGGAGAGCTGGACGTGGTTATTCTTCATGATGAGGCTGGTAATCAGCTCCATGGTGGAATCTAGGACTAGCTGAGTAGCTGTTTTAGGAATATGGGCTGCTTCCAGTATGTAAGGGAAAGCTTTGAGTAGGTCTCTAGCTTTTTGGCATGCTTGGACCCTGCATGTAGCTGAGTCGTCGTTCAATAGTCTACCATGCTCTGCCAATCTTGGGACTTTTTCTGGACTTGAATCAATGGCCTGCCATGTGGTTTAGTGATATCAGGACTGTGCCATTTTATTTGTCGACCTTGGGCTTGTCAGCCTCAGCAGCCAGCAGCTGTCTGAGTGAAGAAAAGCCTCTAGCTTCAGTGGGCTGGAAGCAGGAGGCAGAGCTGAAGCCCAAGGTTGAGGGAGTTTCACCCACCCGGCATTTGGAACTCAGACTTCATTCATGGCCGTGGTGGTTCTAAGCAGGGTGAAAACAATGATAACAAAATGATGGGCCATCACCCCCTGGACTCAGTGAGCAATCCTTCCTCGTGGAATCCAGAGGACTGCTGGAGAAACGTTTCCCCCCACTCACCAGCTTTCCTGGTGGTGTTAATAAGGAGGATGATGACCATGAAGATGACAGTGGTGCTGGTAGTCCTAAGAGTGATGATGATGGTGATGAAGCTAACAGTATGGGTGGTGGTGACATGATGATGATGATGGTGGTGGCTGTTCTGGTTCCCTGGTGCTGCTCTAACAGCAGATAACACAAACAGGATGCTTTAACAAACAGGAGTTTTTTCCCTTACAGTTTGGAGGCTTTAAGGGATGAAAGCCCCTCAACCTTGGGCTTCAGCTCTGCCTCCTGGTCCCAGCTCACTGGAGCTGGAGGTGTGTCTTCACTCAGACAGCTGCTGGCTGCTGAGACTGACAAGCCCAAGGTCTAAAAGTGAAAAGGCACAGTCCCAATGTTACCAAACCACATGGCAGGCCATTAATTCAAGTCCATTGAAAGTCCCAAGATCGGCAGAGCATGGCAGGCTGCTGAACACCACCACGGCTACATGCAGGGTTCAAGTGTGCCATAGGCTACAGACCATTCCCAAAGCTGCTTCTTATATATGGGAAGCAGACCACATTCCTAAAGCAGCTGAATAGTGGTAGATCCCACCATGGAGCTGATTGCCAGTCTCATCATGGAGAATACTACATCCAGCTGCCCAGCCACTCAACCAGGCCCAGCCAAGTTGACTTCCACAGTGGTCACGGTGAGGATGATGCTGATCAAGAGGATGGTGGCAGTGATGGTAACGGGATGGTGGTGGTGGTGGCGATGAGGATGGTGGCAACTACCATGTTCTTAGGGTCTAACTATCACTGTTCCAGGAGCTTCACATGCATTGTCTTATATCCTTCATACAGCCCCACGGGACAGGGATTATCCTCATATCTCACAGGAAGGAATTAGGATTCTGAGAGCTTATAAGAAATAAAACAGGCATTACTCTACCAGTGTGACTCTAAGTAAGCCCTGACTCTCTTTGCTGCTGCAAATGCATCAGTATCAACTTTTTACAAGAGACTGACAAGAGTAGGCTGCAAGGCAGGACAAACAGTGACAATCCGCAAACTGTGTATATAGTAGTGCCCCAAACCTGTAACAACACAGCAAGCATTGTGAGGATGGTGCGGGACCGGGCAGGGTTTCTTTCTATTGTTCATGACCCTATGTGACTGTACTGTGAGTCAGAGCTGACTTGACAGCACCTAACAACACCAACAAACCTGTCACAGTGAAAACAGTGTGACAGCAGTTGTCTTTGAGTAGTAGACATGGCCAACATTCTTTTTCCTGCTTTCAACATTTTTCAAATTTTAATGATACATTATTAAAATAAATTATTATTATTTGTACACATATTTTACATATACAAGGAGCTCTGGTAGTGCGGTGCCTAAGGCATTTGACTGCTAACCAGAAGGCTGGCGGTTCAAACCCACCAGCCACTCCTCAGAGGGAAGGTTGGGCAATCTACTTCCGTAGTGATATCGCCTTGGAAACCCAAGGAGGTGTCGCCATGAGTCGGATATGACTCGACCACAGTGTTTTTTTTTTTTTTTTATGTCAGTATATAGTGTTAAAAAGCATATATTGGAACAAACTACTTTCATACATGGAAGAAAAACACTTCCATGACATAACAGAAGTTTTATATATTGTAATAAACTATTTTTTAAGCTCTCTTGAAATACAAGTTGAAGACTGACTTACATTTTCTTGTTTTGAAAGAATCTTCTGGTAGAATTCATCATCAGACTTCTTTTTCGGAAGATGGTCCGGGAGGCACATTTTTAAAATCTGAATAAACATCTATTGTCAAAAAATAAAGTGCAAGAAAGGTTTTAACAATCCCTTTACAAGAGGCTTCTCTCCCTTCATCTCCATGTCCCTGCCTCCACGCTCTCTATGTATTTATCAATGTGTCTGCCTACCTGCCAACTTCCATACAAACTTTTGCTATAGGCAAAGACCTCACGTTGTAAATCCTGACAAAATAATGGCTCATCCTGGATTGCATTTTCATGAAGTTCCTAAGAACGCTTTATTTCTTCTTCATCCATGCATTCGAGAAATAATTATTTGGCACCTACCCTATGCCAAGGAGCTCTGGTGGCATAGTGGTTAAGGCATTTGGTTGTGAACCAAAAGGTCAGTGGTTCAAACCTACCAGCTGCTCCACAGAAGAAAGATGAGGCAGTCTGCTTCCATAAAGATTTACGGCCTTGGAAACCCAATAGAGGTCTCTATGAGTCAGGAGTGACTCAATGGCAGTGTGTTTGGTTTTGTTTTCTAACTCTGTGCAAAGTTCCAGGGAGCTCTGGTGACATAGTGTCTAAGGCATCTGACCGCTAACCAGAAGTCTGGCGGTTCAAACCCACCAGCCACTCCTCGGAAGGAAGACTGGGCAATCTACTTCCATAGAGATACCGCCTCGGAAACCCAAGAATCGACTCGAAGGCAGTGAGTTTATTTAATTGTTTTGTGTGCAAAGCCCCTGGGTGGTGCAAACAGTGGCATTTAATTCAGCGGGGCTTTAGGGGTGCAGGGACACCCTCTAGTTTTGGAACTGTGCAATGATTTCTGGCTTCAAACACTGTACTGTCCACGAGGCCAGTCCTGCTCCCATAGAACCCACACTTCTTTCTGCCACATCTCCAATCTGACAGTCTTAATTCTCCAGCTGACAACACAGCTGCCCATGGGCACATATGTCCATCCGTGCCTCTAGTTCTCTGTCCCTCTCATCTCTCTCTCCTTCCACCAGGCTCTTACCCCTCCTCTTGCAGGCCTCACCCCTCATTCAACATTACAGAGAATGTGCCTTGCGGAGAAATAATTCCCTGTTTGCACTCTTTGGTCATGATGTCCGGCTATACCAACCAGGGACTCTGTCCCTACTGTGGGCCCCACCCCTCTGACATCATCACACAGAGCCAGTATTGTTTTGATCAAGGACCGCCATGTTTTCTAAACCTTGTTTTTCTAAAGTTCAATGGCTCTGATTTCTCATTATTCACTCAGAAAGCACTTGAATCGGTATCTGTTTCAAACAGGTGCTCAACTTCATATCTCGGCCCCACACTTCTAGCTCTAGGGGCACGATCTCCTGCTCTCTGCCTCAGTTTCCTCAACTGTGGAGAGAAGACCATCAGCCAACTTTGGGGGTTGAGGTTTAAATCCGATGATCTGTATAAACCCCCAAGGCCTAGCACATCGGAGGCCCTTAGAAAGCTTGTCATGACTGTTGTTAGGTGCCATCGAGTCAGCTCCAACTCACGGCAACCCTACATACAACAGAATGAAACACTGCCTCGTCCTGCGCCAGCCTCCCAATCCTTGCCATAACTCAGCCCATTGCCGCAGCCACTGAGACTCTGCTTAGCAGTCAAATGCCTTAGGCACTGTACCACCAGAGCTCTTTTCATAAAACTTAACACTCATTAATAATGTCATCACTGTAGGGGTTGAATGGTGACCCCAAAGAAGACACGTCCACGTCCTAACCTCAGGACCTGTGCACGTGACTGTCTTCATCCCTAGGCCTGCCATAAGACTAACACCACAAGTGGCTGGCTTTAACGAACAGAAATGGACTTTCTCACTGTCCTGGAGGCTGAAGGGCCAAACCAGGGTTCCAGCCACGTTGATCCCTTTCTTCCTGGTAGCCCAGGGACGCCTTTGGCTCCTTGGCTTAGACACGAACCTCACGTGGTGTCTGCCTTCCCCACCTGTGCTTGTGTCTAATCTGCTCCCACCCTATCCAGTGTGGCCTAATTAACTTGGCAAAGAAACCACTTCCAATCAGGATCACATCCACAGGCAGAGGCGTTAGGACCCAAGCATGGTTAGGGGAGGGACACAGTTCCACCCATAACTGTGGCCTCGTTTGAAAATAGGGTCTTTGCAGATGTGATTAAGGATTTCAAGGTGCTATTATCCTGGATTTCGGGGGGTTTCTGAATCCAGCAACTGGTTTCTTTATAAGATAAATAAGACAGAGATATTTGAGACACACAGAGAGAGTGAGGAGGGCCACGTGAAGACAGAAGCAGAGACTGGGGTGATGTGGCCACAAGCCAAGGGACACCAAGCACTGCCAACAGCGACTGGAAGCTGCGAGTGGCAAAGGACCCTCCCCTAGGGAACTCTGGGGGAGTGTGGTCCTGCCAACACCTTGACTTCAGACCTCTCCTCCAGAACTCAGAGAGGATACAGCTCTGCTGTTTTGACTATCCTCGGACTGGTAATTTAATTGTTACAGAAAATTCAGTCACTGTTATCATTCCTTCAAGAATGTTCTTTTTGGAATTTGTTTTCTTTGTCTCTAGCATGACATATACTCCAGGCAGGTGCCCACTCATCAGTCTTCTTAACCCCTCTGGCCCTGGTTGGAGTAAGGACTGTGGTATACTAAGGAGACAAATTAGGAATCTCCCCCAAAAAGGACCCGTGACCAAAGACCAGAGGTTGGCCTGTATGCTGAAAAATTACTTTACCCAAATAATTTGGTTTGGGTCCAGACTCCTGGGAGGTAACCTTTTGATTTTCCCTAGTGATTGGAATGTCTTTGTTATTCACGGGGTGGTCCCGACCGCCTAAGAGTTGATGATAACTAGATGACTCAAGGTGGGAGCTGGCCAGGCCAGAGAGCCCACCGTGTGATCTCAGGCTCACCTCAGGGAAGAGATGGGGCATTGGAAAACATCATAAGTCACGTGGCCAATAGTTCAAGAAACTATGCTCACTTAATGAAATCTCAGTAAAAACCAGCACTGAAGCTTGGCTGAGCTTCCTCGTTGGTGATGGACATGGATCCACCGGACAGAAGTGTATTCCTGGAACATGAAACCCGCACCCTGGGAACCCCCCAGGACCTCTGTCTATGTGTCTCTTTTATTGTATCTTTTTTCTTCTCATAAAACTGTTATCTTACTGATTTTGTTTAAAAAATAAGGATGGTGCCCCCTCAGCAGGCCGGACTTCTCTTTGATCCTCCTATGCTGGCTAACGCTGCCTTCCCTCCCTTACCTCCAGGGTCCCCAGGATTCAGGGCTTGTCACCCAGCTCTGATCCCCAGGACAGGGCTGGAGCAAACGATGTCTCCACCTACCATGTGCTTTTCTTGCCTCAGTGCCGAGTCCAAATGCAGCAGGTCTTTTAAGTGAAGGTTGTAGACACACAAGTTAACGTCTACACTGCAAAATAAAAAGACAAACAGAGAAGACTTGCAGTGTATTTGGAGTACTCAGTACAGGCCACAGGAGCCTGGCCTCCACATGTTCAACTCTGCAGTGTGCTGATGTTCCCAACATGACATGAGGGAGTACATGATAGGATGAGGGGCCCGGTGGGGCTGTGGTTAAGTGCTCAGCTGCTAACCAGAAGGTCAGACATTTGAACCCACCTGCCACTCCATGGAAGAAACATGTAGCAGTATACTTCCATAAAGATTCCCAAAAAACCAACTCACTGCCATTGAGTCGATTCCAACTCATAGAGACTGCGCATTAGGTTTCTAAGGCTGTAAATCTTTATAGAAGCAGACTGCCTCATCCTTCTGTGGAGCAACTGGTGGTTTGAACCACCGGCCTTTTGGTTGACAAATGCCTTAATCACTACACCACTAGAGCTCCTTTCCATAAAGATTACAGTCTTGGAAATTCTACAGAGAAGTTCCACTCTGTCCTATAGGGTGGCGATGAGTCGGAGTTGACTCAGTGGCAATGGGTTTTGGTTTTGGTTTTTGATAACTAATGAGGAGCCCTGGTGGTGCAGTGGTTAAGTGCTCTGCTGCCAAGCAAAAGTTTGGCAGTCTGAACCCACCAGTGGCTCCATGGACGAAAGACGTGAGAGCTGGCTCCTGTAAAGATTTGTAGCCTAGGTAACCATGGTAAGTCTACAGGGCAGTTCTTCTCTGTCCTATGTTGAAGGTAAAAGAGCTAAACAGACGATTTCAAAGGGCAGCTCGAGAAGACAAAGTAAAGCACTATAACGAAATGTGCAAAGACCTGGAGTTAGAAAACCAAAAGGGAAGAACATGCTTGACATTGCTCAAGCTGAAAGAACTGAAGAAAAAAAATTAAGCCTCAACTTGTAATACTGAAAGATTCTATGGGCACAATATTGAATGATACAAGAAACATCAAAAGAAGATGAGTCACTGTACCAAAAAGAACTGGTTGCTGTTCATCCATTTCAAGAGGTGGCATATGATCAAGAACCAATGGTATTGAAGGAAGAAGTCAAAGGTGCACTGAGGGAAGTGGCAAAAAACAAGGCTCCAGGAATTGAAGGAATACCCATTGAGATGTTTCAGCAAACAGATGCAGTGCTCGAGGTGTTTACTCCTTTATGCCAGAAAATTTGGAAGATAGCTACCTGGCCAACTGACTGGAAGAGATCCATATTTGTGCCCATTCCAAAGAAAGGTGATCCCACAGAATGTGGAAATTATTAAACAATATCATTAATATCACACGCAAGTAAAATTTTGCTGAAGATAATCCAAAAACAGTTCCAGCGGTATATTGACAGGGAACTTCCAGAAATGCAAGCTAGATTCAGAAGAGGATGTGGAATGAGGAGTATCATTGCTTATGTCAGATGGATCTTAGCTGAAAGCAAAGAATACCAGAAAGACATTTATCTGTGTTTTATTGACTATGCAAAGGCATTTGACTGTGAAGATCATAACAAATTATGGATAACACTGTGAAGAATGGGAATTCCAGAACACTTAATTGTGCTCATGAGGAACCTGTACATAGACCAGGAGGCTGTCCTTCGAACAGAACAAGGGGATAGTGCATGGTTTACAATCAGGAAGGGAGTGCTTCAGGTTTGTATCCTTTCACTGTATTTAGTCATTCTGTAAAGCTGAAGAACAAATAAGGAAGAAAGAAGAAGAATTGATGCCTTTTAGTTGTGGTGTTGGTGAAGAATATGGAAAATACCATGGTCAGCCAGAAGAACGAACAAATCTGTCCTGGAAGAAGTGCGGCCAGAATGCTCCTTAGAAATGAGAATGGCCAGACTTCGTCTCACCTACCATGGTCATGTTGTCAGAAGGGACCATTCCTTGGAGAAGGATGTCATGCTTGGTAAGGTGGAGGGTCAGTGAGAAAAGAGATCTTATCTTCAATGAGATGGACTGACACAGTGGCTGCAACAATGGGCTCAAGCACAGCAAGGACTGTGAGGCTGGTGCAGGATGGGGCAGTGTTGGGTTGTTGCACATAGAGCTGCTGAGTCACAGCTGACTCGATTGCACCTAACAACAGCTCTGTCCTATAGGGTCACTATGAGTTGGAATCAACTTAAAGGCAGTGGGTTACCTGATATGTGATATGATAATAGTGGATGATAAACCCACCTAAGGGTTATCGTCTGGTAGTCCATGGTACTTTCATCATTCTTGGCCAACACCACAACTCAAGAGTAACAACTCTTCTTTGGTCTTCCTTATTCACTGTCCAGCTCTCAGCTGCATATGAGGCAACTGAAAATACCACGGCTTGGGTTAGGTGCACCTTAGTCTTCAAGGAGACATCTTTGCTCTTCAGCACTTTAAGAAGTCTTTGGCAACACATCCGCCCAATGCAATACGTCATCTGATGTCTTGACTGCTGTTTCCATTTGTGTTGATTGTGGAACCAAGTAACACACAATCTTTGACAAGTTCAATCTTTTCTCCATTTACTGTGATGATGCATATTGGTTCAGTTGTGAGGATTTTCATTTTCTTTATGTTGAGGTGTAATCCATACTGTAGACTGTAGTCTTGAATCTTCATCAGTAAGTGCTTCAAGTCTTCTTCAGTTTCAGCAAGCAAGGTCATGTCATCTGTATACCAGGTTGTTAATGAGTCTTCCTCCAAATCTGATGCCACATTCTTCTTCATATAGTCCAGCTTCTCAGATTATTTGCTCAGCATACCTCGTCTGTATACCAGGTTGTTAATGAGTCTTCCTTCAAATCTGATGCCACATTCTTCTTCATATAGTCCAGCTTCTCAGATTATTTGCTCAGCATACAGACTGAATAAGTATGGGGAAAGGATACAATTCTGACATACCCCCTTCCTGATTTTAAACCATGCAGTATCTACTTGTTCTGTGACACCCTCCTGGTCTATGTGCAGGTTCCTCATGAGCACAATAATGTTGTTGTTGTTAGGTGCCATCGAGTCATCTCTGATTCATAGTGACCCTATCTATGCACAGCAGAATGAAACACTGCCCCGTCCTGAGCCAACTCCATGATTCTTGCTATACTTGAGTCCATAGCTACTGCCACCACGTCAGTCCATCTTGTTGAGGGCCTTCTCCTCTTTCGTTGACCCTCCACCTTACCAAGCATGACATCCTTCTCCAGGGAGTGGTCCCTTCTGACAACATGACCAAAGTACGTGAGACGGACTCTGGCCATTCTCGCCTCCAAGAAGCATTCTGGCTGCACTTCCTCCAGGACAGAGCTGTTAGTTCTTTTAGCAGTCCACGGTACTTTCAGCATTCTTCACCAACACCACAGCTCAAAAGCATCAATTCTTCTTTGGAATTCGTTATTCAATGTCCAGCTCTCACATGCATACAAGGTGATTGAAAATACCATGGCTTCTGTCAGGTGCACCTCAGTCCTCAAGGAGACATCCTTGCTCCCCAGCACTTGAAAGAGGTCCTTTGCAGCCAATTTGCCCAGTCCTATATGTTGCCTGGTGTCCTGACTGCTGCTTCCACTGGCGTTGATTGTAGAACCAAGCAATGGGAAGTCTTCGGCAACTTCAATCTTTTCTCCTTTTATCATGATGCTGCTTAT